AAACGAGGAAGATTGGCAACAGAAGTTAGCTCAGGGCCAATCTTCCTTAGCAAAATGAATAAATAAATAAATGAAATAAATAAAAAATAATAATTTGAAGAAAACACAAAAATAAAAATAGGTCTTGTGTCACGGTTGTGTTGTTTTAGGTCATTATGTTTTTTCTCCAAAAATGTCTTTATTAGTCTTTCCTATCATATTTTATGACACAAAAACACACGACAGCTTTCATCATATTTTTATACATTCTTTTCTATGTTAAGGAAAAAGTGGTATCAGTTCACAAAATATGAATATGCTCTATTTCTTATATGTTTTTGGTTTGGATGATTTCAATTTGTTTTATTGTTGCTTAGTTGAATAAGTTTAAAAATACCATTATATTTTGTAGGCGTATTCCTGGATGAATGAAATCTCTCTGAAATCCCCCAAAATCTGACATTTGCCAAGCTAGACTTACTGGCATCAAGAGTACTCAACTTCCTGCTTCTGACCCATAATTTTATATGTGAAAGTCGTCATCAAAGCTTGCAAGGCAACTCGTGTTGAGCATTTCCAGAGACCAAACCTCCCCTCTGTTATTTCAAACAGTCAACAGCTGCTCAGCCTGTTCTTCCCATCACTGTTGATGATTGCGATAGAAAAAAATCCAACTTGAAAAAAATCTTGAAAACTGAGAACAGCAAAGCAACCAGTGGCTACTAAGAGGCAGTACGCTGTTATCAGCCTCGGCTCTCTTCTTGGGCGCTTGCCCAGTGAGACTAAATTCTCTTTACAGCAAGGCATGGTTTCAGCTGACCTGCTGTGAATGTCCCCAGTGAGTCAGTGCCGTTAACTCCATCAGCGCCATTTGCTGTCCACTTGGACGTTTCTGAACAGCTGCTTGGCTCCAGTGCCGACTCCTAACTGGAAATATGGCCTGGTCTGACTCAGTTTCAGAAGAGGAATATGGGAGGGAAAGGGGAGGAGAGGGAAAGAGAGAAAACACACATGCCTCCACTCAAAGAAGACTGACAACTCTGTTTTTTTCCGTTGATTATGGTGGAAACGAATTTTGAATTAAGTGGAAAGACTAAATCCAGGTTGTCATATTCTCTCCATTTTTTCTCTTATTATTTTTCCCTTGAAGTTGGGTTGGGATTTGATATTGAAATTACGTGCTAATGTAGAAATTTGCAGCCCTTAAGATGTCACCACATTTTTTTAAAGATATCCACTTTTTTTTAAAAAAACATATCCATCTTATTTTCCAAAGACAAGAGCGACTCTTTCCTTTATTCTAAAAATATTTTTCATAAAATTGAGAATCCATTCTGAATCAATCAACAACTTTTTTGGAGCACTTGTTAGAACAGGCTTCTGGACTAGACATTAACAAGGATTCTGAGAAATATCAGACATGATCCCTGGATTCAAGAATTTGTAATAAAATTTAGAGAAAAGGCCTGTTCAAATAGATGGTCCAGGAGCAATATGAGGGAGTGTGCACGAAGATGCCAAAGGCTTGGTACAGCTACGAGAGGCTGCAGGAGCTCCAAGAAAGGATCTGGGCTGGCGGCTTTAAATCTGGAATGATGGTAACTGATACTAACAACTGAAATGAAATTGACTTTACAAACATGGAGTATGTGTCATAGCTCGGCATGCAGCCGAAGGGTTCAGGTTAAAGGCTGAAATATGCTCACATGACCTCAGTGTTTCACTTCAGGGGAAGTCCGTGACTTAAATGCGCATAACTGTACGTACAAGCACATGTATACATTTTTAAAAACTCTTAATTTACCAGAGACACCGAGGAGGCAATCATGCACTTGTTCTCTTGGGAACATTTATCTATCATTTTGTGAGCAGTGAACAAACAGCAATCCAGGTCTCTGGGGCTTACCAAGAGGTAGAAAATAGATTACTAGGGTAAAAAGAGTTCTTTCATTTTGACAGTTCCCCATAGCCTGTTATTTTCATTTCTTGAAAGAAGATTTCAGAGGAGACTACAGACAGGTTAATTTTTATCTTCTTTTATGATGATAATGTAATTAGAGACTTATAGATTTTTCAACACAATTTCAGCACTTGTACATATTTTTCCTGAATGATAAGTATAGAAATGTTATTCCATGACCATTAGTGCTTTGAGTTAATTTACCTCTTGCTACATTATTCCCTCCAATTCACTGTAGATGTGAGTTGAAGAGAGCTTGTTCCCCAAATGCTAGGATAATGCTTATTACTGAATGAGTGAGTCTGCTTAATTAGTCGTAAAGTCTTTCATTGAGATCCTACCACCAATCTAACATGAGAAAAAAACAGGCCTGAAGTTTTAATCCTGAGGAGGCTTGCAAATATTAAAGAATAATAAATCCGAAAGAATGCTTTGATTTGAGGTCTTAAAAGCAACTAGCAGTTTTTCCTGTAATTTCCCAATTTATATCTAAGACTGTTAGGATAATTAATGAACTAGTAGTATCAGTTTTCCCAAGATGTCAAAAAAATCACTCTTAATTATAAGAGTGATATATGCAGAATTTGGTATAATCAGGTCCATCTTAGACCTTATCTATGGGCTTGATGGGAACAAAGGGACTTTTCTCCAAATAGGGAGCCAAGCCAGAAGGACAGACACTCTAAAGGGAACTAAGACTTGTGTGGTGGTATGTACAGTGGATGAAATCACAAGTCAACTCATGAGTAATCTTGCCTTAACGCCATGGTGCAGTAGTAAACACAGAAACAGGCAGAGAAATAGGAAATAAGAGAAATAAGGAAGATGGGTTCTATAAAAAAATGGATGAAGACTTAGTAATTCATTCTCTATGAGTAAGGGGATGTTGAGAGGAAATTCCAAAGGGAAGATGACAATGGAGCTGGGTTCTCAGAATGCCTTTTCCAGTCTGACTTGGGGAGTGAGTGAGAGGGAATTCTAGCCAACAAGAGCAATTTTCACCCAACAGGTATTTATTGAAGTGGCTGTTATGGGCCAGGCACTATTCTGAATAGTGGAGATGCCATTTTGAACCCAATCAAGTCTCTGACTTCATGACGCCTACATTCCAATGTGCAAGACACATAATTAAAGAAACGTAATAAATAAAACAAAGATCTGTACTATAATACCAAGTAGATATTATAATATATTATAAGTCTATCATATAATTATAAAAACCAGCCCTGGTGGTCTAGTGGTTAAGATCCAGCGCTCTCACCATACTGTGGCACTACATGTTGCTGTGACACTGAAAGCTATGCCACTGGTATTTCAAATACCAGCAGGGTCACCCATGGTGGACAGGTTTCAGCAGAGCTTCTAGACTAAGACAGCCTAGGAAGAAGAACCTGGCCACCCACTTCTGAAAAAATTGGCCATGAAAACCCCATGAATAGTAGCAGAGTATTGTCTGATATAGCGCTGGAAGGTGAGAGGATGGTGCGAAAAGACCAAGCAGGTTCCACTCTGCTGTCCACAGGGTCACAAGGAGTCTGAATTGACTCGACAGCACTAGCAACAAATCATTATAAAATGTAATATCAAATAGCTAAAGAGAAAAATGATGCAGGCTAAGATGATGTTAATTGCAAGTACATGGAGGTCTAAAAATGCAGGTGACTTTCATGGATCAGCAAGATGTGATCGTCCTTAGAGCACAGTGTGCGTGGTGGGAGTGGACTCAGGAAAAGAGTGAAAAAATGCCTATAGCCATCTCAGTAATGAAATAAATAAAATCACTATTTTAAAATTAAATTCACTGTTAAAATTCCTAAATAAAACAGACATTACTTAATGACAGGGAATGTAGAACCCACAATTCCATTCTTCAACTTATCAGGCTTACAAATATTATTCCCGCAAAAGTTTTTAGACTCAGTATTGGCTCCAACATTACTAAGTGTAGGAGCTTAGGCAAGTTACTTATCTGGTTCATTATGTGTAAAATGAGGAATCTAAGAATACCTACCTTGGAAGATTATTAGGAAGAATAAATTAATACATTTATTTCTTTTAGCATAATGCTTGGAGCATAGTCAGAAGTCAGTGATGCTGGCTATCATGAAGATTATAAATAATGAAATTCACCTTGGTTTGGAAAGATACGACTGTGGAAATCAATGAGCATGTACCAAAGCCAAAAAAAAAGCCGAACTCAGAGAATAGTGGTTCCTGTAGGTAAGGGTGTGGGGGAAAGGGGAGACAATTTTTTAAAAGTACAATGGTGGTTGCCAGGGATTGGAGAAAGGGGGTCATGGAGAGTTACTGTTTGATGGGGACAGAGTTTCAGTTTTGCAAGACGAAAGAGTTCTGGAGATGGATGGTGCTGATGGTTGCACAACAATATGAATGTGTTTAATGCCACCAAACTGTGCACACAAAAATGCTTAAGATAGTAAATTTACCAAAATAAAAAAATTGGGAAAAAAACCCCAAACATTGACGGTAGAGGCCTACCAAGATGCATTCCTGTAGCTCCAAAAAGTGGACTGGAAAATTCTTCTTTGACTGACAAACCGTGACTTTTGAAATACCCTTGTAGTATTGTTCTGACCTCGTTTGGCCCAGGAGGCTCAGCAGCGAAAAAGGACACTCCCACCTTGGGGAATTCACTTCCACTCTAAGCAACCCAAAGAGAATGACAGCCACTCTGTGCTATCAAGATATCAACTGGCAAAAGCATCACCGAACCGTAAAGATAATTGGAGGCTTCGAGGTTAGGGTCATTAAGTTCTTATTTGAAACATAAATATCAAAATAGAATGAGTTTCTATTAAATTAGGAAAACAGAGTCTTTTATGAGTATCTGAGCACCTCAAAAACAGTGTCTAGAGAACTTACTAATCTGCCAATGCTATTTCAAAAAGAATAAACAAACACAAGGAAATGATCCTGCGTCCTGGGGCCATCAGCACCTGGCCAGGGCATGTAAAGGGCCCAGAGCAGGAGGAAGACATTCACACCTGAGAACACTCAACTCTCCTCACCAGCCCAACCCAGCCCAGCCCCAGACACTACCATGACAGCCTCCTGCTGTGGCTCTGCCTTCTCCTCCCTGAGTCTTGGGGGAGGCTGCTGCCAGCCCTGTTTCCGTGGCTACCCCTCCTGCTGCCGCCCCGTGTCCTGCCAGACCACCGTTTGCCGCCCCGTGACCTGCGATCCCCACTACACGCGCTCCATCTGCGAGCCCTGCCGCCGCCCCCGCTGCTGTGACCCCTGCTCCCTGCAGGAGGGCTGCTGCCGCTCTATCAGCTGCTGCCCCACGTCCTGCATGGCCGTGGTCTGCCGGCCTTGCTGCTGGGCCTCCACCTGCTGCCAGCCCATCTCTGTGCAGTCCCCCTGCTGCCGCCCCCACTCCTGGCAGCCAGCCCCCTGCTGCACCGTCTGCAGGACCTCCCGCTGCTGAGCAGGGCATCATCGCTAAAGGTCCCCCAGTAGATGACCTAGTCCATACCGATGTCACTCAGCGATTCTGGGCAGAACAACATGCATTTTCTTGAGAAGCCCATTCCTCATCTCTTCAAACTAGCTCAAGTAGGCACTGAAGACACCTTTTCAGACAACTACTGATTAAGAATACCCCGTCCTCTCCAGACCCCAGTCTAACTCCTGTTATCATGTTGCCTGTTTTCTAATAAACTTAATACTCCCAGCATAACAACAAAAAAAAGAAAATGACTATAGAGGAGGCAGAATGTTCAGATTTCAAGTCTCATATGATGCTATAAGCCCTGCTAAGAAGTTTGAATTTTCTTCTACAGGCAAATAAGGATCCTTGGAAGAATTCTTAGGCAGGGAAGTTACATGATAGGGGGATCCAGTTAGGAAGCTAGTTGTTTCTGTTCCATCAGTTGTGTTGAAAGGATTGCACACAGGCTATAGTGTATCTGGTAGTCTGAGCTCTAGAGAAGGAATCGTAGACCAGATGAGCCATTGTGACTAGTTAGCCCAGTTGTGGTCAACTTACCTAGTGGTCCTGAATTGAGAGGTTGCTCCCAACTTTGCATTCTACCTGTCTGGATTTTCTGCTTTTAGTAATGGCCAAGTAGCTCCTGTCAGACAAAGTGTATCACAGGTAATAACCATAAACTCTGGACAAAATATAAAACTCCTTTACTGAAGACACCAGAGAGAGACCAAAGGCAGGCAGAGACTGAGAGGAGGTGGATACTTGGCAGAAGGATCTAGCACTAATAAGTTTCTGCTTTTTACAGTTTTTTGCCAGACAGCAAGTCCCAGTCCGGGCCACAGTGGGCAATTAAAGCCTGGATAGGAAGCAATAGTCTTATAGGCTTGAGGAAGTAGAAGACACAAATTTGGGGAGACCAAACACGATAGGAGACATCCACAGAATTATATCAAAATTTTGTGTATAAACTCTGCCCAAATGTCTGAATGACTCTTGAACTGTGCAGGCACAGGGCAGACTCCAAGCAGTTCCGCTGAGGTTAAAGGAAGTGAACATAGATTTCAGCAGCTGCCCGCCACAAGGATGACAAAATTGGAATTCAATTCTAACCAAGTTAATTGCCTGCTTAATCCTAAAGAACCAATGCTCTTTAGAGGAATATAACAAAATCCAGAGTCCTTAAAAATACCATTCACCATGTCCGGGACTATTAGACACACAAGGCAAAATTAGGAAGAATACAAAGAAACGAGAAAGTATGACGCAAACATAAAAGAAAACACTTAATGGGATCTGACCCCCAAATGACCCAGCCATTGGAATCAGAAGAGAAGGTTGTTAAAGTAAATATTTTAACCATGATCCAAAATATAAAGAAAATACACATGTAATACATTTAAAAGTTCTAAATAGAAACCATAAACAATAACCAAATTAAAAAAATATAGAACTGAAAAGCTCAATACCTAAAATGGAAAATTAACTTGATGGGCTTAACGACTAGGAGAAGACACAAGAAAAAGTCAGTGAAGTTAGAGATAGATCAATACAGTTATAAAATCTGAAGAATAGGGAGAAAAGACAATATCAAAAGTCTTAACATATATATAATTGGGTTCTAGAAAGAAGAGAGGTGAATAGGGCAAAAAAATTTGAAGTAATAATACCTGAAAATTCTCCAAATTTGGTGAAAGATATTTACATATTCAAGAAGTTCAGCACACTCAACAAAGACACAAAGAAAACCGTGGAAATGCCCATCATATTTAATCCAATAAAACCAAAGACGATAAAAAATTCTTAAAGCAGCTAGAGAAAAATGGCACATTATATACAGGGACAACAATATGAAATAATGCCAGCTTCTCTTCAGAAAGCCTGGAAGCCAGAAGGCAGTGGATCAATATTATTGAAGTTACATAAAAAAAATTTTCAGGCTACAGCTCTATATCTAATGAAAATAATCTTCAGGAATGAAGGCAAAATAAAGACGTTTTCAGATAAATAAAAATGAAGATAATTTATTGCCAGCAAATCTCCACTACAGATATGCTTTGCATTCTTCAGACCAATGGAAATTAATACTGGATACAAACTGACCGACTCTTCAGAAAAGAACGAAGAACACTAGAAATAGTAAATAGGTGGGTAAATAAGACTATTTCAAGAAAAAAATATAACCTTGTATTATAAGATTTATAAAGCATGTGGGTAATGATATATATGACTACTATAGCATAAAGGATGGGGAAATGGATAAATAGATCTACGGAATTGTGAAGTTTATATGTTTTACATGAAGTGGTATGAAATTAACTCTAACTAGACTGTGAAAGTTTAAGAATGTGTATAGCAGTCCTTAGAGCAACAACTGAAAAAGTAACCAATAGATAAATTAAAATCAATTCTAAAAATATATATAGTTAGTTCAAAATAAAGCAGACATAAGCTTTTAACTTCCTCCTCTGCATGACTCCTTGGTGATTTTATTCACTTCCATTGATTTAACTGCCACTTGTAAGATGACTTATAAAATGACAAAACCTAAACCTAAAGCTAAACCCTATCGTCAGTCTACCCCTCTCGCCTAAGATCCTTACCGTCTATCTAACAGAGAGGTAAAAATGGGAGGCCTATTGGCTAGAAACGGCCTAAAATTTTTTTTTTTCATTTCAAAGTGTTTGGAAATTTGAATTTTTTTCTATTACAATCCAAATTTTAAGATTCTCCTGGAAAAACGTGAAGATCTGCAATAGGATCCTGAATTCCTACAACAACACCATTGGCTTAAGCTGCATGCTGACTCTGCTCTTTAGCCTGGACGCCTGTGGATTCCCTGATCTCTGCCACCGCTGTACAGTGCATGACCGCTGAATGGGGAAACAGGTGAATGAATTATATCATGACATCTACTGATATGAACACGATAAACCTTGTAACGTAATCTGTGATGCATTGGCTTTTTTGTCAATCTGGTCACACTGACTTGAACCGAGTCTAAAGTCAACCACGTCCCTTTACCCAAGAAATTTCAATTTAAATGAATCTCTCCATTTTCTATCTGTGCCACTGATTTTCTGCACCTCAGTGGAAACTTGCCTAGTTTTCCTTGGTAGATTTCATCTCATGGGTTTCAGCCCGTCGTCATGGCCGACTGAGACATTCCAAAACCCAGATTCTGTCATGTACCAGAAAAACTTTCCTTCTTGATTTTAAGTCATTTAGAAATCTGACATTACACCTTCTGCATTTTTCTATTTGAATGGAACCAGTCTTTGATAACAAATAGGTGATGTGTAATTAACGTGATTTTGAAATAATTCAGCCTAGGAGCAAATCCTCTCAAATGACATTCTTTCTCCACCTGAAGTCAAATGAAAGTTTAGAGGCATGATTTTATGATTAATATTTTTATTAATGTTTGCTTGTTGACCCTAGTAAGTCTTTCTTTTGACACATTTTCCAGTGTCAGGAACACAAAGAATTTGAATTGAAAGTGTCAAGAAAACAACAATAGGCAGAACGTGAGGGAGCAATTTGAGGTGCGAGTTGGGCAAGGGTTAACAGTCAGTATTAGGCAGCCCCCATGGGACTGTCTGACCCAAAGTGTCATTGAATCTTGCCCCTGGGAATGTGGGAATCTAGCAATGGTTTTGCAAGTGTTTTCCTACCCCTCCCATCTTCATCATCATAAAGAGGAGCATTTGTTTAGCTCTCTCATCTTTTTACTGGTATCCTTTGAAAGAAGAGGCAAGAATTAATATGCGTCTGGGAAACCAAGGTTGCCAAATACATATTCACATTGTTAAACTGTATTTGGAAAAATCGATAATTTTGGCATACATGTTTAAAATTCTTGGATCTATGCCCTTTTATGTTTCTCAGCTAAGTCTCAGGTTCTGGAAGAAAGTTCTTCATAATCTAGAAAAAACTGAAGAGCCAAAGGTAGGTGATAACAGACCTATCACCTTGAGTCAGGGATGCTCTCCTGCAACATGGGGGAAGTCCCAGCCATCCTTCATCTTCAATGTGTCCAGGAGGCTCTGTGGGTCAGTGTATTGTATCCCTGAACTAGGGGAAGTGTCCTGCCCTACCTAGAAGATATTTTAAATGACTACCTGTTGTTCCTTCCTTCCTTATGTCTTTGACCTTGACTATCCACTTTAACATGTTCTCAGAGAAACAAAAAGAAACTGGTTTAGAGGTTTTAGAAATCACGTCTTTGATGCCTAGGAAAAACATCCCAAACAATTTAAAACATCATATAGTCTTTTTATTGAGATATAAAATCTACCACAGAAGTCAGCCACGAAAATGGAAAGGGTGCAGCAATCCCTGTGGAGATCTTTTAGGAAGAATATAATCCAGTGTAAGACATAACAATAAAACAGCGTGGGTGCGACACTTCAAAGTACTTTACAAGCTTTGCCTCGTAAATGCTCACAACTCATCACTGAGATGGCAGGTGGTGCTATTCATCCCATTCCACAGATGATAACACCGTGAAAGGTGAGTGGGTGCACTCACCTGGGTATCTGAGCTGACATAACTTTGAGAGTCCAGATGTCCTCACTGTGACCAGAGAGAGACTGTCCTGCTTCCTGAAAGCACCCAGTGCCCCAGGGTCCAGTTTGAAGGCCAGCATCTAGGAGAACCGATGATGCACAGGAAGTCTGAAGGCAGTCTATTATAGAATTTCCACTGGCTCGGGAAGACTGGTGTTTTGCTCTATTCAAGTCTTCAACCTATTTGAGGAGGCCCACGCACATTATGGAGAGCAATCTGCTGTACTCAAAGTTCACCAATTTAAATATTAATCTCACCCAGAAACACACAAAGTTGACATAGAAAATTAACTATCACATTACTATCATAAAGTGCTTGGAGAGAAAGGAAGCCAAGAGAATAATTTCAATTTTTTGAATAAGTTGGTGTCACTCATGACCAATAGCTTCTTCAGAATATAAATGCCTTTTTATAGAAAGAAAGATGGTTCA